ACTACTGTATCATACAATAAACCAGACTGAATATCAGAGAGGTAATTGAAACAATATTTAAAACACATGCATACTATTCTTCCTTAAATTGTTTATCCAGTCCAATAATGATCTTCTACCTAAATCTAAAGACTATAAGAAACAAAATTACGCAGTGTAAATGGGGATACTCAATTATACCTACTGCCAACTCATTCTCACTTCAAAATCAATCACAAATGACTAACTCTAACTTCCAAGTTTTTGTGGTGATTCTAATATTGTTAGTCCCAAATCTTCAAATGCAATCTAGTTTTTATGACAATATGGATTCCAATACGCTGAAATTATTAACAGCATAAAAACAAATCAATCAGTAACAACATACAACTTATGCTGCATGGAAACTATTAATGCAAGTAATCAACCCACCATGAAAGCTCATTCTTAATGCAGGGTACCTGATAGAAGCAGCGTCGGCAACACGAAACCGGCGAGAAATTTTCCCATTGGATTCGGAGGCAACACGCGGCGATCACATCGAGAATCAAATCAATCAGCTGGTAGGAGATTCGATCGTTCTTTTGGGAAATGAGTTTCTCGAATCACGAGGAAAGTACTTTCCAGCGCAGAGAGAAAAACTCGCCGGAAACTACCATCAACTCGAGAAAACCCAAATGTTGGTTTGACGGCTTTTCTTCTCTTGGCTCCACAGTTTCAGTTTTAGCCCCTTCTCAGGTAAATAAAACCAACAAAAATCCGTTTATCGATAATTTTCTGAACAAAAAGGCAGCAAAAAATTTTTTAAAAAAAGGAAAATATATAATCGAACCAATATTTTTGGAAGCTTTACTTGAAGTTAATTTACTTCGATTATTAGATATTGGAGCAAAAAGCGAAATGGTGCAGCTACGAGCCTACGAGGAGAGGAGGAGGAGTAAATAATTATGTGACTCCAGAAGCTGCGATGCGTTTGTCCAATGGGAAATTAAATTATATTTGCGTTGATTTCCATTCTCGGCCGTCGTTTATGCCTGAAGCCGGCCATATGGCACGATCAGTAGCGGGGTATGATGGTCATTTTCCGTTTTTTGATTTTGGTGCCATTTCCTTTCAAAAACGTGACTCGTGGCGCTCAACATTTTAACTTACTCTGAATGCAGCGCCCAATATTCTATAGCTTTCGGAATTAACCTACCAGTCCGTGAGGACATAACATAATCTTCTTTAACTAAGTTTAAAAGTTTTTATACTATATCTAAAATTTTTTAATTTTATTAAAAATCATTAATAATTCTTATCTTAATCGTAATAAACACAATATTCAATTTTTATATACTTGTAAATATTTTTATATTGTTAATTAATTAATTTATGCAATTAAATATTTTTACATTTATATTTAAATTAAATTAAAAACTAAATATTTATTTATATTTTTATTTATCTTAAAATTTATGTTAATAAAACACTCAATTATTATTTACATAAATAAACGTAATCACTTATTTAGTATATATTACCGGTTTAATCATTTAATATTGTAAACATTTTATAATATAACATAAATGTGTAATGTGTATAAATTTTATTTAACGTAGTGAATTAATTATTTATTTATCATAAATAATATTAATGTCAATTATCATCATTAATGTATTGATTAAGAACAAATTTTAAATTATTTATTTTTATGTTTACATATTCTTTTAATTATTGTTTTTTCCTATTTATCTCTCTGAATAAAAGTTATGCAAATTAAATAATTTAGTTAATTTATTGAAATTATTTTTTAAACTTATTTATTATTAAATTTTATATAAAAATATTTTAAAATTATTAAATAATACAAATATTTTTAATGAGAAAATTATATTAATTAAATAATACCAACTTGCAGTATTTTAATTTTTTTTAAATAGATAAATAAAAAAAAATTCTCTAAATAAATAAATGTAGCACTAAATAAAAAAATTATTTTTTTAGGAAAATAAACGTACACTTTTTTAAAATAATGCCTATTTTAAAAAGTATTTAAAGGTTATTAAAAAATAATATCAAAAGATGTGATAAAAATTTAATTTTTTAGTAAATTTTAAAAAAAATACATTTACCTCCATTTTCTAAATATATTTTAACATCAATCTTAATAAAAAAATTCTGTTATAAAAAACAAAAGCTTACACCATCCAAACAAGAAGTTCAGTTACTTGCTCTCATATGAATTTTCAATCTATTTTAATCGGTTTTTTTTTCTGTAAATCCAGGCTATTATTTTTACTTGCTTGTTTATTTGAATTAACTATAAGTATTTATTTAGAGTTAAATTTATTTAATTTTATATTCTATTTTATTTTTTTCTATTTAGGAAACAGTCACGTAGTATGTGTGAAATAAGCATGTGATTGTAAATCTTAACTTATTGAAATGACAGAGAATATGCCGGAATCACCTGTTAAATAAAACTTGGCTTCAAATAAAAGGGAACAAAAAAAATCTGATAAATAAGTCAACTTGGCTTTGTCCCATTTGTGAGTTCCATTCACATATGGTTTCTTGCCACGGAAGAAATAAAAATTAATTATAATAACATATTTTGCTATGGCGATAATTACCCTGATTTTAGTGGCGGTATTCTATTTAAATAAACATTTTTAATCGTTAATCATGCATTTAACGATATTTAGACTCAAATTCAATTAATACAATTTTGTGTATTATTTGATATATTAAATTCAATGAGTTGGAATCATATAACATTAAATATTAATTTTTGAAAAATATTTTTTTCAATTATTTTTTAATAAAAAATACATTTTATGAATTTTATCATTCAATTTTAAATATTTATAAAATTATTAAATTGATAAAATTTACATAATTTAAATACAACTAAACTTTTATTTTAATTTTTGAAAAAATTTGTGTTTGACATTTTAGTCCATCTTTATTTTTATTTTAATCTTTAAACACGTAAATTCTATTAACAAACAATAATAAAAAGTTGACATGTCAGCTTAAGTGTCATGCTATAAGTTTAGTTGACAAAAAATAACATCCTTTTTAAAGACTAAAAAAGTAAACTGTTAAAACTCTTTTTGTTTTTAAGAAAAATCTTAAAAAATTTTGCATGATCTCACCAAAATCAATCTTTGTAATTGTGTTTGGCACTATAAATATTTAGATTGGAGTTTGTAATACTCAAAAGAAGAAGAATATGTTATCTCCAATTAAAATATTACAACCTCTTTATGTTATTTGAAAACTTGACTTTGCTTTTTTTCATTGATTGGAGCAATATCATATGAAGCAGTTTTTTAACTTGCAACTTTGCTGGTTACAAGGCTTAAAAGTGTTGTTTAGCATTTTTTTTTTTGGCTGCTTCTTGAATTTTTATAGTCTTTCTTGCTATGTCGTCTAAAAATTCAAACACGCACATAGTTTCAAAGTTCAAATTTGCACAAATAAAATTTAAAAATTAAAAACTAAGTTGTGTATCAAGGAGTATGGCAAGTCAAAGTCAGAGAGATTGTAAATTAGAAATTTGAAAAACCTCAAATGTTTGGGCAATTAGGGTACTTCAAAATTTTTTTAGAACAATGTTGTTTTTCAACCCTTTAAAATGATACAATTTGTGATAACTGAGAGTTTTTGTGTTTAGAGATTAAAATAAACAACAAAAATGAAAGTCATTGACTAAAACGACAGAAATTAAGCGATATTAAGTTTTTTACCATTCAAATCAACTTTCCTTAATTATTATAATGAACTATTTAAAACTTACTAAATTTATAATGATATATTAAATAAATTTATATAAAAAGTACAATATTATATTACATAAATTAAATTTTAAAAAAATTAAATTAAAATTAAAATTTTATTTATTTGAGCTAAAGAGTGTGCCTTCTGTGTACTTTTAAGAGAGTAATATTTGTTATAATATTTTATATCACTCTTAACTAATTTATATTATATGCATGTAACTTATTTATATTTGTTTGATTATGTTGATTATTAGTTTGTCTTATTTACCATCTTATTACTTACTTATTATTTTTTATTATTATTGTTTCTATTTTGAGGTTAACAAAATATTTTATATATTTGAAAGTAATAAAATAATTTTATTTACTTCTATTGTACTTCTATTTATAAGTGATTAATAATAATTGAATTTAATTAATAATATATTTATAAAAAACTAAATGACTCCTTAAAAATTTTAATATGAAAAAAATCATTAAAAAGATTGATAAATCATAACAAACTTTAAAAATGTCAGATTTAATAAAAAATTTATAATAAATAATAAGTTAAATTTATACTTTAAAATTATTAAATAAATTTTACCCAATCCAATCCAACCTAACTTATTTTTATTCACGTACTCAATAAATGTAAATTTTATTATCATCCCCAATAAAACAATACTTAAAAAAAAACATACACACAAGTGCTATTCTTTGATCAGTGGCACAATTAAAAGAATGAGTTTTAAAATAAAATGTAAAAGTTAAATAAAATTATGTCTAGAATATAAGCAATTAATCAGTAGTGTGCATGTATTTTATTTAAAGTAATTAAATATAAGCAAGTAATTAGTATTTCAATTATATTAAAAATTGTAAAAGCTTTTAACATGATTACTTCCATTTGTTTTTTTAATCAAATAAAAAAGCTTTACCTCAAAGTTACAGGGAAAAGAATTTCACGTTAAAAACGTTAATTAAGAGATTAATCAATATTTTTTATTAAAAAATGCGGGTATAAATATAATAAAACACTATGACAAGAGTATATTATAATATTTTATGATAAAAGAAATTTACTCTTAGATCCTTGACACAAATATTCATTAACACCGATCAAACAAGTTTTAACGTTCAAATCGTTAAAAAACAATGTAACCTGTGATGTTATATTATATTTTTATATACAATATATCTTTAAAATACATTTTAAATATAAAAAATCTAAAATATGTCCAAAGCAGTGGTACAAAAATATTTTCTGGTTAGAATGAATTTAATATTTTATTTTATTTATTTCCTCTCCACACTTGACTTGGGAACAAAGCATTAGACTCAGTGTCCTTGCATTTTGTGGTGGGCACAACGTCATGGGCAGAAATTGTTAGAAGATGGTAGAAAGTTGTGCGAGAACGATGGCGACATTGTTGCTCTGTCTCTTGGCAATCTCTGCACTCGCTCTCGCTTCTTCTCCATGCTCTTTAACTGGTTAGCTTCTATGCCTTTTCCTTTTCCATCGACGTTTTTTCTCCTCTTTATTGGCATTTTCCTTTTCTCCATCTTCATTTATTTCTTTAGATGTTTGTTTGAGATGGCTAGTGATGATTTCCATTTTGTTTGGGTTAATTTTGTGAATCTACAAATATGTAGGGTTACCGCTGGTGAGAAATATCAGTGAGATTCCTCAGGATAACTACGGTAGGGCAGGTCTATCTCACTTAACTGTTGCAGGTTCATTAATGCATGGACTGAAAGAGGTATCAAATTTAATTTTTATGTGCATTTTCTTTCACTTTGTACACATTTTTAAGTTCATCATTTTATTTGACACAATATCATACGCCAATTTTAAAATGAAGCTTTACTAAAATAATAAGAGTAAATACTTACTTTAGTCATTCAAATTGTAAGCGATGATGACTTTAGTCTCTTATTTTACAAAAATCTCATTTCAATTTCTGACTCTAAAAAACGGCATTCATTTTAATATTCTTTGATTAAAAAACAATGAAAAATAAAGTAAAAAAGGTCTAAAGTGGGTATAAAATTGAGGACTAAAGTAAGATTTTTGTAAAGTTTGGTCTAAAGCGATTGATGCTCAAGGGACTAAAATGGGTATTTACTCATATCAATATTAAGTAAACATACTGCCGAATTGTCTTGAATGATAGGTTTCCATTAGTAAATGTGAAGAAGGGTTTGCCCTTTTATTTATTGGAACAGAAAGCTTGCTGTTGATAAACTTTTTTTTTTTCTAGTTAAAAAAGAGGTTGCTCTTTAGTAGTATAATTCATAGTCCAAAACTGCTCAGTCTAAGGTATTGAATCCTGTTTGGCTGCCATCTGCATGGTCAATGGTAGTTCAATACGGTCGTAAATTATCATCTTTTCAAACTTTTCTGAAACAGGTTGAAGTATGGCTACAAACATTTTCACCTGGAACACACACCCCAATTCATAGGCATTCCTGTGAAGAAGTTTTTATTGTTCTCAAAGGGAGTGGTACTCTTTATCTTGCATCAAATTCACATGGAAAATATCCTGGAGAGCCACAGGAGCACTTTATCTTTCCAAATAGCACATTTCATATCCCTCTTAACGATGCTCATCAGGTAAACTATTGAAGGCAAACTGTGAGATTTCTCCAGCTTAATTTGGTTTTGGAAAAAGAATTGAGAATTATGTCTTATGAACTAATCTTGTGAATATATATATATATATATGATTAGTTTAAGGTGATCCTTTTGATGCATGTGATGTGCCTATGCACACCAACAATACGGTCATACAATTTGGAATGTATCAAAAGTGTCAACTTTTTCACGTATTTCACGTTGATCACGTGATCTCAACAGAAATAAACAATTTTTAACATCAGCATTAAGTATGGAGATATATGTTTTCAACAGATCAAGACATTGATAAAGGGAGAGAGAAGGTGTCGCGGACAGTGTATGAAATTTGGATATGTAAAACTTGGCATTTATGGCTATAAATAGTGCATTGACATTGTTTTTTATGGGAATGGTGACTTGATATAGGAAGTTTATAATGTGTGTCATAAGTTTTGCCAACAGTTGTACTTTTTAGGGTTGGGAGACAACATCATGCTGTTTGAAGTTTAGACTTTTACTTTAGACAGCATAATAAGCTGGCATGTAGAGCTGGCCTCACCTTGCCAACTGCAAACTGTAACACGTCAGCTGACTGCAAGAGTACAAGTTTTGGTTAGATCTGTTTTCTTTGTCAAATGATGTCCAAAGAAGTGCTAGTAGATGAAATGAAGTAACTTGGGAGTTTGTTAGAAGTTAGAACTTCTTAGTTCCATCTTGGTTGTTCATATTCTACTCTTGCTTGTGTTCTAATTGATGAAAAGCAGGATACATCACACATGCCCAATAAAATTGAAAATATGTAAACATTGCAAAGAGCATTAGGCATTAGCCAATGAATGATGTACCTTTCTTTTGCTAGGTTAATTCATTTTCTACTTGTTCTTTGATATTAATGATCATTCAAGGTCTTCTGGTTTTCTGTGGATTTTTTAATAACTATAGAGAATCTGCATTGCAGCTTTGGAACACCAATGAGCACGAGGATTTACAAGTGCTTGTTATAATATCTCGTCCACCAGTTAAACTGTATGTGCTTCTGTTACCATTCTCTTTAGGTTTTGTACTTAACTAACTAGTTGATAGTGGTAACTCTAGTGCTTGTGTTGGCTCTTTCAAACATGCCAAACTGCTGAAGCTCTTTCTTCATATTGATTAATGTAAATGCATTCTTATTTCTAAGTAACTCAGTAGATGGAATCCCCAAAAATGTTTGTATAAATTATAATTAAACTTGGCTTTTCACTCTCCACTGATTATGTTGTTTCATTTTCCACTAGTGATGCAAACATCTTTATTTCTTTGCATGGTTTGTCCTTCCCCTGCCCAACCCCCATCTTTCTAATTACTCACTATGAATATGAATGTTTGGTTATTGATTAGGTTTATATATGAGGACTGGTCCATGCCTCACACTGCAGCGAAATTGAAATTTCCCTATTACTGGGATGAGATATGTTATCAAGAACCCCTAAAAGATGAACTATGATTTGTTGTTATGGTTTACACATTATATTCCTGAGATTTTTCTGTCGCTGTAAAGTATTTTCTTTACTTGAAATTCAAAATTGTTAAGACAGTTTCATATTGTTTAGTCTTATATCTCTATTTGTTTGATGAAGACTCGAATACTTTACCCTTTTCTAAAATTTTGCAACAATCTGGTCTCGATGATTATGCCAAAGAAAAAACAAACAAGACTATTCAAAAGGGATGGGATTGCGTAGCAACGTTTGGTACTCATACAGCTTTTTCTTAGTCCATCGGATACTGGATCTAAATGCATCCAACAATCATTCAAGCGCCAAACCTTCGAAAGAGTGAGTGCATTTCACAGAGAGAATTTTTCTTCAAGGCTTGGGCCTCAAAACTAATGGATCAGACTGGTTCGATTACCGTGGTAGCCTCGGGTTCAATATGTTCCTCAATCCATATGAATCCATTACAGAAACATCGTACATTTGGCAATGGTGTTTTTGGTTGAAAGAAAGAAAACACTTCTCTGATGCAGACCAAAAAGAAAGAAAAAAAAAATGCTGTTCACCTATCTTCATTAAATGAGGTGGGACTTTAAACATTTGACCTCAACTGAGTCTGAAAACCATTAGTGACCGAGTCAGACAGCAGAACACAATGCTCATAAAATTTAAGCAATCATAATATATAACACGAAATCCTGGTCAAGTGAATTTTATTGTCCCTCATATGAGGTTATTTGAATACATATAAAATCACGATCAGGGAGCAAGAAGTTGTTTGGCCTTATCTTTGTAAGCTGTAGTACTAATCACAAAAAAATTTCCCTTTCCATACCGTTTTGTTCAATCTAGCACTGCAACAACATTCCAGAAACAGTGCATATCAATATAGTTCTAAACATCAAAATAACCATATTCTATGTGGACTACTTCTAGACAGAAGAGACTAGAACAATAGAATTGGTTGTTTTATCACAGCAAGTAGAAAAAATGTGTCTGCTTCAGTTCATGCATTCTTCCACTCAAAAGTAACATGGTGCATTGCCAATAAAAAGCTGTGCGAACAATTTGGGACAGCCCAAAAAAAATAAAAAATTCTTTGTCATCAAAGATATCATAGTTGCGTAAAATCAGCTACCTCTCGTCCTACGTTTTGTTAAAGAGACACATATACAAGTCATATGACACTCCACTGATAAAGAATCACAAGAGATTGAATCCAAAACGGGAGTTATGATATATAACTAGATACCGTCTTCATTAAAGAAAACATCAAAACAACTGCATCTAAACTGCAAATTATCTCCAATCTCATTAGTGGCATATATTTTCACTTGGTTGCTCAATTTTTAAGGTAAACAAACAAATTATCTAAATTTTCGGAACCAAATGTCGAGATGATAAGGAGGCACAAATGAAAGAACATCTGAAGGTGGGAAGTTGTAAATCCGTAGGTTATATTTTGACCATTACTGAATTAACATATGAAAGAATACTTGAAATAAAGTCAAATTTTAGTAGCAACTTAAAAAAATCACCTAATTAACACATTGTGATATACACGACACAATTTGTCGAGGGCAATTTAAGGCAGTTATAAAAAAAAAAAAAAAAAAAAAAAAGCTTAGGCAGCGCAGCAGTTAACATTTTAGATTTGACTATAATATAAAGAAATATTCTGAAATTCTTAATATATAGTTGATAACAAAGACACATATGAAAGCACAATGCCCTTATTTAGGATTTAATTTATTTATCAAGACCAAAGTGAACGGAAATAAAACCAAAAAAATGATAATTAATTTGTCGTCTTCGAAACAAGACTACAACATGCATTTCCCATTAATGAGAAAAGCTATAATTCACAAATAATAGACCAAAATATGACAGGCAAACACATACTCACGGTAGGAAAGCTTATAATCAGCACTTCCCGCCTATGTAGGCAGAGAATAAGGAAAGGATATAGAAAATCTCTTAAAAAAAAAGGGAATTCTTTTTGTACAAAGATTTTGGGACAGTACCAAATAGGAAAAAATAATAGAACCAAGGTTGACAGTAGCTAGAGAGCCTTTTATATTATATCCTCCGAGGATTATTCTCTTCCCTACAATCCCACCAACCACCTTTATCTCCATTAACCATAATTTCTAATTATGCTCCCTCCAAAAACCCTTCAACCGGCGCATGTAATAAGAATATGGCTCCAACTCTTTCACCTCCTTTGGCTGCTTGAAACCCTTTTACCAACATTAACATAAAAAGACAGGATGGCCTTTGGGAACCCACCACCATATTCCTCCCCATTCCTTGGCCTCCTGTCTTTCTTTATCTTCTTTATTCTTATCAATCACCATCATGTCGTTGCTGCTACAACTACTACTACAAATATCCACCTTGAAGTGATTCGAAAACCCGTCCCAGATGTCCCTTTCTTCAGGGAAGCACCAGAATTTCGCAATGGGAACACATGCAACCGTGAAAGGATCCACATTTCCATGACATTAGACTCGAACTATCTAAGGGGCACCATGGCTGCTGTTCTCTCCGTTCTTCAACATTCCACATGCCCAGAAAACGTTGAGTTCCATTTCCTTTGGGCCAGGTTCGAGCCGCAGGTGTTCCTTAGCATCAGGTCCACCTTCCCTTACCTCAAGTTCAAGATCTACCGCTTTGAATCTAATAGGGTACGCGGGAAAATCTCAAAATCCATTCGCCAAGCATTGGACCAACCTCTAAACTACGCAAGAATCTACCTTTCTGACCTTCTCCCAGGTTATGTCAAGCGAGTGATATACCTAGACTCTGACATTGTCGTTGTTGATGACATTGCAAATCTTTGGGAGGTTGACTTGGAAGGCAAGGTATTGGCTGCACCAGAATATTGCCATGCAAATTTCACTGCGTATTTCACGGACTTGTTCTGGTCTGATCCAGAACTTTCTAGAACATTCGAGGGTCGGAATCCTTGTTATTTTAACACGGGGGTTATGGTGATGGACGTGGAAAAATGGAGGGAAGGAAAATATACCCAAAAGGTGGAGGATTGGATGGCAGTGCAGAAGCAAAAGAGGATTTACCACTTGGGATCTTTGCCTCCTTTTCTGCTGGTTTTGGCTGGGGAATTGAAGAGTGTGGATCATAGGTGGAATCAACATGGGTTAGGAGGGGACAACCTTGAAGGAAAATGTAGGAATCTGCATCCTGGGCCTATTAGTTTGTTGCATTGGAGTGGAAAGGGTAAACCTTGGTTGAGGTTGGATTCAAGGAGGCCTTGTTCTGTTGATCATCTATGGGCACCCTATGATCTCTATCGTCCAAGTACTCATTCTTTGGAAGAATGAAAATGAACAAGGTGAATGGGGGAGGAGGAGTGGGGTCGGGGGGAGGGGGGGGGGGGGAAGGGAGAATGAAGAACAGATTGCTTAAGTAGTTTGATAAGACTTGGTTGCAAGTGTTACAATATATGGTTTTTGGCAGTTTGGTGTGGAAGAAAAGGGAAGAAAACCAGGCTTTGACTCCAAAAGTCTTGGTTTAAGGGAATCCTGAAAGCAAGGAGAATACTGTGTTGGAGTGGGGTCGTTTATGTGTCTCTCTTTTTATATATTTTCTGGGTTGAAAAAGAACATTCCTTGGGCATTGGTTGTGGATGATGGTATCATTTGCAACGGTGACTGGTAGCCTGATCAATGAACCTCGTCCAAATTTAAGTGTCCTTGAAAATGATATTTATGAATTTTAATTCTGTCTTTAATATCTTGGTAGATTTTTGTACATTCTTTTTTCAGCTCAATTGCTGTTAAAAGATATCTGCCGTTTCATTTCACATTTTTGACTGAATCTGCTTCAAGTTTACAGTGATTGTCTTCCCATAAAACATCCACGCAAAGCCATAATCATATTTAAAACCTTATAATCAAGTTGTCATCTAAATTTTTAATGCTGATACCCGTCAAAATAGCAAAAATAGTTTCGTACACACACCTTTTAGATCTTTTTTAGTTACTGCTTGTTTTTGTTTTAGGACCGTCCAATGTTTCATGGCATGTAAAAAGAAAAATATAATGAAACATGGTTGAAAATAATAAATTTTAAAATATCAATTCAGATCTTATTTGATTTTTTGTTGTGGCATCTGAAAACTCCGTTCAGTACCTTCTAATGCAATTTCTTAAAAGAAATATTTCTCTATTTTTTATGAACGAAAGAAAGTCCTAGGCTCTTATAAATTTATTAAAGTGACAAAAATTTATAGATTTAATATTATCATATCACATTTATTTTTTAAACACAAATGCTTTAAATTAAGAATAAATTTACATTATATATATAAATCATAAGCTAATTTTGTTCTTTACAAGAGAAAAATAGGGGGTTATCCTTCATCTCCCTAGCAAAATGTTTCTTGACGACATTTTTTAATCTCCTTATCTTCGTCTACTTGTTAAAATGAACAATGTCTAATAACACATTGATAAATGGAATCAATTTGAAAATTTTATACAATAGAAAGCTGAAAACAGAATATATGAATATAAATTCGAAATAATGATATTTTTGCAATTTGAAAAGACGTAATGAATCTCGGATCGGAATTTATCTTTTGCACTGTAGTATTCAAATTTAAAACAAAAATATTTAAGCTTCAAAATCGGTTTTCACTTGTACTCCTTACACACTAATCACTCCAATCTCCCAAGCTTCTGCGTTCTATCCTCTCCTCATGAATTTCTTCAAATCCGTTTTCTTAGACGACCCGGATCCTCTCCAACCCGAATCCGAATCCAACAATGCGGCCCATAACAAAGACCCGGATCCAGAGTCCTCCTCGCCAACGAAACCCCTATCCACCACCGGCGATTCCGGTGGCGGCGACGGTTGGAACTTCGGGGGCCTGTTCAAAACCTTGACGGAGAAATCGGAATCCATAATCGAGACTTACCGTCGCGATCTGCAAGAATTCGGCACGGGTTTGAAGAAGGAGATTGAGGTGGCGCATGGTTCTCTCGGGACAGTGGGTCACGCCATCGACGAGTTTGGAAACACCGTCGTCAAAGGAACGGCTCAGATCATATCTCAAGGTAAGGATGCTATCCTCGCTGGCGATCTCGATTCTGATTCCGATAACGGAAGCAGCAATCGCAAACGCGTTAGCGGAAAGAGCTCGGATTCGAAGCGGTACAGTAGGTTCGAGGCTCAGGTTCGTGCTATTCAGGGTGATGTTAGCACTTACTCCGAGGAGCCAGAGGATTTGAGTGAGTTCAATGAGTGGAAATTAGGGTTTTCGTTGGATGGGAAAAGTGAGGAAATGGAGGGATATTTCAGAGAGAATGATGCTATGGAGAGTGTTTATAAAAGGGTTGTTCCAAACATTGTTGATCATGAAACGTTCTGGTCTAGGTATTATTATAAGGTTTATAGGCTCAAGAAAGCTGAAGATGTTAGGGCTAGGCTTGTGAGGCGAATTTCCAAGGAAGAGGAATTGAGTTGGGATGTTGAAGATGAAGATGATGATGATGATGATGATGAGGAGGAGGAGGAGTATGATGGTGAAACTAAACCTGAGCTTATGATCAATAAGGAGGGTGGGGGTGAAAATGTGGTTAAAAGGATGGATACTCAGTTGCATATTGGTGGCAATGAGGGAGAAACAAAGAGACTGAATGAGGAAAAGGTGCAGCATTATGGTGAAGAGGGGTCTAAGGTTGAAAAGAGTGACAATTTATTGCAAACTGAGGAAGTTGGCAACAAGATGGATAAGTCTGTTGAGGAAAAACAAGTTGAGAAATCTGAAGTTGTTCATGAGATGGGTGGGGGAAGTAAGGAAACTGCTGCAGAGTCCGGTGTTGATAAGGCATCCAAGTTACAGGTCGATGATGCATTGAAAAAGAATGATTCTGCAGCTGAATGTGATGAGAAGGTGATAAGGGAAAGGGAGGCTGGTGATGGTAAATATCTGGGTAAAAATAACGAGTCTTTGGTGGCAGAAACTCAGCACTCGTCAAATGAGGAGGATCTTGAGTGGGATGATATTGAGGATCTTAGCAGTATTGATGAAAAGAAAGCAACTCATAGTAGTAGCACAAGCAAAGTTGATTTACGGAAGCGCCTTAGTGCTGCGGAAGAAGAGGAAGACTTGAGTTGGGACATTGAAGATGATGATGAGCCTGCTAAGGCTTAACATTTGATGATTCTGTTCTGATTTCTCAATAGAAATATATGTGTAAGTGTCCTTTTGACCGAGAAATTTGCCATTGTTTTTATAATTTTAGAAATTGTGATAGAAGTAATGTTGCCATCTATTCCATCCCTATAATGCATGAAATGTAACTGTTACTATATTAGCATCACGACTCATTTATTGTTACTTATTTTGGATATACATCAATATATAATCTTTGTCAGATATAGTTAATAAATGCTGTTCTATCCACCTCGTCCTTTTATTTGATAACTTATGAATCAATTCTAATTATGAATGACCAGTAAATCCATCATTCTATTTTGCATCCATTTTGAAACCAATTGGCCGCAGTTCCATCTAGTATATAATTTGTTTTAGAGATTTGGTTTCTCGAACAATGTCATCAAGCAACGTTTCATATTGCATCAAATAATATAATAATGAACTATCTGCATGCATAAGGCACGCATTGAGTATAATTTGGGCATGCTAACTCAATCTTGAAGCTCGATATATTATGTTGAATTGCTAATAGCATATTTCGTGAGCTTCAGTTGCATTTGAAATTCTAGTTACTCAAAACATCAATATGAATTGTAGGTATTACATGTCTATGGTTCTTATGGTCAAAGTTCAAAGCAGATTCCTTACTCTTCAGTCTTCTGGCAGAAAGTGTGTAATCTGACAGCATCACTTGTGGTGCGCTGTGAGGAATATGTTAAACTGATATAGTTGTGTATATTTCTATTACACAGATAGTTTGATGGATTTCCCCAATAGACATTTGATGATTTTGCATTTTTGTACGCTATATAGTTTTCTTTTGGTTCGTTTTTACGAAGCTGAAATCTTGTGTGATTATTGACTCAGCAGGGACTGTGAAATGAAATTCTCGTTTTCTTACAGGTGTGTCATTAAAGCAGGCAAAGGAAATGTGGTTCACATTTCCGTCCTATACTGTGTAAGTACCCTTTCAAAAGTTATTGTATTAAGGAATCTAAAAATGCTTGAAGCTAGCCTTTGTTCTCTTTTCCAACCTCCTGGTATCTGTAAATGTGTCAATCGAGATGGAAATAATTATTTTCCAATATATACCGGAGAAATCTTGCCTCCCGAAATATATAGATCAATCTAATTTCGCAATGTCCCATTTACATTCTCTAATTGATTGGACGCTATCTCGAACTCAGATCTGCAGGGTTTTTCTTTTGTGGTTCAATTTGATTCACTTGTTTTAACAAAATTGTAGACTTGAATTGAACTAGGGGCCTACTTCCATTGCTTTTGTCGTGTTAATTGATTGGTTGAGACCATTTGATAAACAAAGATAAGCTAAACCAAATAAAAAGTATAAACACCCGCTTTTTAGGTTTTTACGTTCTATGCAGAATGTAATTCATTAAGTCGAAGGAACTTGAGTTATGCTCAGTATATCTAGAAACATGAATAATCAAATTATAAAAGAAATGAACGAACGAATTTCCTGCGGTTGTTAAATCAACTTGGAATAAGTCAGGCATCGAGTACGTCATCCGACACACCTAAGCCAGTAAGACCCGCGGACGCTAACCTTTTTCAACTGTATGAAAAGGTTGGAGTTGGACTGCTGCTATAAAGAGGTGGTGGCAGGCATTCACAGCAGGTAACTAAAAGCTTCCATCACCCCCCCCCCCCCCCCTTTAAGATTTTGGATGTTGATTATCAAGACTGTTATTATGCTATTCACGTAGATAAATTATTCACAAAAGGGGTGCATATTAATCTGAAACAAGAAATTCACATTATGAATTAATTAAAAGCAATACGGTGGGGTGGGAGTGGGGGATACATGAAATATTTATAATTTTTTCCCTGCTGAAATTGTAGCAAAATGATATAACTACGAGATAGGGTATAGTAGCTACATATCTCCACAATTAAAAAAAAAAAAACTACCCACAAGAGAGACATAAAAGAACGGCCAGTTAAGTAGATGATCGTAACTGGACATCCTGGTGACAGTTTGATTTGTCTAAAAAGATGATTTAACTTAAAGTATCGTTCTTACAAAATGCTACCGTCAGATATAATTCACACTCTTAAAATTTGAAAGCTCGACTACTCTACTAAAGCTCTTGCCGTGATTGGCGAACATGGAAAACCGTTCCGAACACCACTAGACTCTATTCTATCCAATGGGGAAAAAGGTGTGGGAAAAGGGTGACTAAAAGAAAAGGAATGAACCAAACTGCTCTAGCAGCACCTGGGGTGGGCCCTGTTTGTACAACAAAATAAAATGCTCCACAGTACTGAGCAAATAGCAGAGGCGTGAAAGCCACCTTTCTTGATTCACATTCTCTGAACCCAAGGCTGCTTCATAACTAAACTTGTTCTCAACCTTCAACACAAATGCTGGGTTCGGATGTGGACTCTGCCATTTGTGGTTCAACAGGGGAAGGTAATGTCAGAAGCCTTCCTTTCTGGGCACGTGGGGGAAGATGCTTTGCAGGTTTTCTGGATGGCACATTCCAGGGTAGAAAAACACCAGTCCCACCACCAGCAAGTTTGCGGGGGTCCAGTGTCATAGGACGAAACGGGGCTAGCATAACCATTGGGCCACGAAGCATTCCCCATTTGGGCATCATATCCACACCCTCATAGCTACTTAGAGCACCATTAGGCAATCCATACGGGCCTGCAATGCCAGGTTGCCACATAGCAATGGCATTTGTCATTGTAGGAGACGGTGATTGGCATTGATTGGAGTCTGGCCTCACTCTAAAGAAGGTTATGCTGACCCTTCTGTTAGGGGATGGACACATTACGTGTCTAGCCATGTCAGCACTGTTTCCTCTCATCACTAAAAGAGACCTGCAAAATAAAAGGTGTTTTGTCATTACTTGTTAGTCGTTAGTTTAAAGGATAAGCAGTGTTGTGGGTGATGATGATAAGCTCAATTTCCTTGCACAAGACACATCCTGCAATATTTTGTACCAAAAAAAAAAACAAAAGAAAATGCATTGTCTAGTAATGTTTGTAATAATAATAATAATAAATCAATGAAGATAAAGTCATGCCTCGTGCCAATTCTATCAGTTCATCTGGATGCAGCCCCTAATTGGATGTTGGAACCAAATGCTAACACACTAAAATGGCCCGAGGCCTGGACTCACCGTCAAATGATACTGTCGTATCAGAACACTCCTTAAAAATATTTCAACAGCTAATCAGACATTTAGCATTGACGAACTTGATGCTTAAACTTAGATCAAAAGGCTACTTCGCTAATGAAGTTACTATCTGCAGCATAATGCAAGTTTCCACTTTAAAAAACTATATATAATTATTAAATGAGTGACATGAAGATTATATGATGAATGGAAAACTAAAGCTTTCCAGGATCAGATTGGACACTTCAAATTTGACCCTTGTGATAACACTAACAAATAGCAAGGAACTTGTTGTTGTCCTCGCCTAGAGTACCTGCAAGTTTGCCCGTTACTCAGGAAAAATTAAAAAGCAGAGAAGCAATCTAACCCAATGATGTTTATTATATGAATACATAGTTGCATCCTCTAAAAACTTGCACTTCACATTTTTCACTTACATGCCGTCCTATAAATGTTGAAGGTACTTCTTCCTTTGTATCCAGCATTGTGACTAGAATCTTAATTAATAAATGGAAGATTAGGACTGCAAAGAGTATAAGTTCTTTGGTATGTACCCCTTCTTCAAAGAGAGCATGAGTGGCCCCTTGTAGTTCCCATCATTTTCACTCATAAGTATACGCCCAAAAGCCATAGTTGATTCAGAGAGAAGTAGAGTGGACACAGGTTGATCCAGATGCGGTGGTTTCAGGAATGGCTGAGAAAACTCCCCCTAAAAATAGTGAAATCATGTTGCTAAATGTTTATTTTCTTGCTCACTGCAAAATGATTATAGTATCTGCTTGACTATAAAACATGGTAGAACTTAAGAGGAAGGGAAAGGATGCAGTATTTACCTCTTCAAAAAAGTTGATGATACAACCATTTGGTCTTTTGTACTCTGGAAGTAATTGCCATTGAATAAGGTGGTCAATGACACCCTGTAGAAGTGCTGGAATAGGCTCTATATTGGCTGTAAACAAGAGTCGAAAATGAAAAACTGAATTAAAAGAGCATCTCTCTAGTTTAGATTCTTTTATGCAATATTTGATATCAGAAGAATCTAATTACATATTTGTTGGTAAAGTAAAACTATGTTATCATAATTTCTTTAATAATCTGTTTCTTACTTTTTGTGTCCTCCTTTATTTGTCCAAATATTGGAACACCCATCTGAATCAGCTCTCTTTTGTTCCCTTTCATCTGCTTGTTGAATAGTATAAAAGTTTCACCTACATGATGTATACAAGAAGATTCGGTTATATTTTAAAGAATGTAGACAATAAAAACAGCTTGCATTTGGCATAAAGAAATATAGTAACAACAATGTCAAGGGACGGTTTGTGATTGTCCAAGCAAATGGTAACCTCGAAATTATCATTGGCATAAGGAATAAAACAAGAGAATACACGTGTAAAAAAGATCATTAGTGGTTTACCCGACAGTTCCCCATTCTGGCCAGCAGCATGGATCTCATTCACAAAATCTGTCAGCTTGCACAGCTCAGAATCAGTGAAAATGTCATCATATAACTTCAATCCTTTTACAACATTCACCTGTCAATTTCAATCAGCTTTTAATCAGCAATAGCCAGCTGCTTCTTAATACATATATGAACTCTCGAATCCACTCTTTATTAAAAAGAATGTACTTTTAGTTTGTGAGGTATAGAACTTGCCATATGTCCTTTCACTGACTCTTTTGCTGTGAAACCTTTGGTTAACTTAAACTGTGAAGAACGTCCTTCACACTCTTCATGATTGGAACATATATTAATGTTCATGGAACTAGCATGCATTTCTTGAGATCCTGCACATGAAACCAAAAATATCTCATGTAAGTTTTAATAATCAGGAAAGGACGAAACATTTCCATCCTAAGCAGTACATTCACAAATACAGTACATACTACATAGGCTGCGATTCCCTCACATTAACTTAAATGAATATCATCAAGCTTTGATTAACTTGCTTTGCATTTCTATTTCCTGTCGCCCATTTACTTTATTATCCTTTCATTATTATGATTTAGTCATACACGTCCCTTGTCATTGTTTACAACATCGTCTTATTACCTTAACAGAACACAATGTTACACTTGTCGACAAACACTTGTCGTCTTCCAACAAAGTCGTTATTCGTTGGCATCCCCAGTCACCAATGTGAGTCAGAACATTACATAGCACCAAAAAGGGACAGGCCAGTGCAAGCATTAATTACATGTCTGTTTCCTTAATAAATGGATCCAGCTAATTCAACATGTTTTCGTTCCTACATTTGCACCTTTGTTTTTCTTTTCTCTTAATCATTCCACACATATATACCTCCTCCATGCAACATTTTTAGATCCGATGGCTAGTGGCTGGTGCATATGCACTCTGGCGTTTGGTAGCTTATAATTCATCTCACCTAATTATAATTCATAGGAAATAAAGAGACAAAATTGACCCGAAACCAAATACCCGAATCCGAATCGGAACACGAGTGACACCATCATGCAGTTGCCGTTGGTGGTCCCGCCGCCTGTAATAAAATCATTGCACACACTTCTAGATATATAATTCCAACCTTAACCTTGTGCTATTTATCACGCCCGAAACTAACCGTAACACCGAACGCACCCCAACCTTTTTTTATGCCTCGTTGTTCTCGACACTGTAAACCCCCCATATTTAAGTATCCAAAAAAATTATCAGCCACATGCTCTTCGTGTAACTACTTCCCATTACTTTATTACCCACCTATATTTGTACCCCCCACAAAACAAAAAGTGGCGTCCACTACAAGCAAGAAAATTCAACAAATGTTTTTCTTTTTACTAAAATCACGAAATTGAACAGCCATAATCATAAATAATTAGGCAAAACGATAAACCTACCATTGCGGAACAGAATTTTGACTTCAAAGAAATGAAACAGTATACAGAAACAAATTTGCATGTCGGATTTGATGACAACTATCGCTTCGCTACAGATACATACAATTTTTTTTTCCCGAAACTCGAATCATGAAAATAAATAAAATTAAAAGTTCGCTCTTTTCAAGAGATACACATAAAGTTTCATGCTTTATTTCAGTCAAAAAGAGCAAAAAAATAAAACTTTCTAATTTTTATTACCAATAAATAAATGATCCCCTTGAAAAAAAATCATTACATTTCCGACCGTTCTTCAAACCGAACACAACAATTAATAAGAAATCTGAAAATTCCGCATTTTGAATGAAAGTAAAAGCAACAAACCATGAAAAAGTAGAATAAAAAAAACGAAGATGAAATTACTCAAAGATGAGAAAACAAAACATAAGAAGCCCCAGTTTTCATTTCACGGCATACCAGAAGCATTGATTTAGAAATTAAGGAAAAGATCAAAACTTGAAAACGAGAATTAGGAAAGAAATAAAAGGGTTCTGCTTTAGCGTTCAAATAATTCATTTACCTGAATCGGTAATCTCGCTCTCAGGGGAATCATACTCCTCGTGTTCATCACCACCAATTCCAACACTTTCCGCCGACGTGGCTTTCTCGTCGCTTATCGGTTTCTCATCGTTGGGCGCTTTTCCGTCGGCGAGTCGACGGAGCTGGAGAGTCACGTCGGCGATGGAGTGGTACTTCTGCATCTGGATGACGGGGATCCAGTTGAGTCTACGGCGGTGGATGGCGGCGAATACAGCGTCGTAGTCGGAAGGAGAGGTGGCGATGCAAGCAAGGTGAGCGCAGAGGGCATCGATGATGGCGTTGGCGGCGGCGAACTCACCGCGGAACCAGGCGATGATTGCGTCCTTGGCGAAGGAGTCAGAGACGAGGACGGGAGGAGGTTGAAGAGGCAGCATTGCGGGTCGATCGGAGGGTGATGTTGGGCCAGCCGCCATGGGAGCCGAAGCCAATTGCGTTGTGGTTGTTGCAGAGTGATCGGAAGCAATGGTGTGTTGTGTTAGGCTCAAATCTCGGTTTCAGAGGAAAACAGAGAGAATGAGATGAAACAGAGGAAGTGGTTTTATGATTTTTGTATGTAATGTATTGAGATTAAATACTTCTCGTAAGTCCTATCTATGTATGTATGTATATATCAAAGCTCTCAAACTCTTCATCACATGCCCACTCTCTACACCTTCTTTCTCCTCTCCACGTGGCGCTTTCTCACACCGTTTGACGTGGCTCCATAAAATAATTGCTTTTTCTTTTTCACTGCTCAGATATTTTTTCCTAAATTAAATAAGTTCACAAGTTATAAATTATTTATAACATGAAATTGACATAGAAATCATGTTGTATAAAATATTTAGAAAAATAAGTATTTTGTGTCTTTGGTTAAATTTATAAACAACATAGCTCATATATTTTTAATTTATTTAAATAAAATATATGGTATAATTTGTTATATAAAATAAATTATTTAATATATACTTAATTAAGTTATATATTTAAATACATTTTTAATAATTCATAAATATAAAAATATAATAAATAATTTTTAAAACTTTATTTTTGTATAGTAAGAAATAATTTTAAAAATTGACGTTAACAAAATCATAAAATAAAAACAGTGTTATTAAATGTGTTTTATGATATTGGTGTAAATGCAAATGAGTCTCGAAAATGATAATCTTAATAACATCCTAAGCATTACATTCACAAATACAGTACACACTACATAGCTTTTGTGATTAGAGGCATATCATATCCTTCCTATCGTTTTTTTTAAACCAAAAATGATGTTTTTTTAAGTCTACGCATTTGATTTTTTTTAAGTACTAACTATTACTTAAGTATAAGATCAACGAAAGATAATGCTAACAATTTGAATAATATTAACCTGTGTTATGCATGTAAAGAGTATTTAGAGTTTAATTTTACTGCAAAATTTTTTACATTTTTAATAAATAATATTCTTTTATATCTACTGCAAATATACACTAAATATATTTTTAAATTATTTATTATAAATAATAAGAATTAATATTCATCTGAAAATGTATTATTAAATAATAAAATAAAAGGTCCTACACTATGTGTATGTTTCAATTAAATTCTTCTCATAAATATTCTCAATATTCATGTCAATTGTTAATCTCAAATAATTAAAATTAATTAATAAAAACATTTTTTCACATGTTAATATTATTTAATAGTTACTATTTAATAACTTTAATTATTTGATATTATTATATTTTTTGAACGTGAGTTCAATTCAAAAGTGTGTGAGAGCACATTGTGTTATAAGTTTAAAGTAGTTTATTCATTTAAAATATTTTAAGTAATTTAAATTTAGAATCCTCTTACTTATAGTTAACCCACTAATATAGGATTTATTTATCTAATATGTTAAATATTTCTTAATTTGTAAATATTTTAGAAAAATAATCCTTAATTCCTTAATAAGACCCCTAATAATTATAAAAACAATTTTAATGCTGAACATAGGGTTTGGAATAATTTATTTTGTCTATTAAAAATTTATTGTGAGTTTTTTATTTGAAAATTTGTTTGAGTTAAACAAAAAAATTGTTAATTGTTAAAATATTTTTAATAAAAATAGGACGAGTCTTTCATTATTTTAATATTTTTAAATTAAAATAATTAGTTAAATTAGTATTTTATATATTAAATAAATAAATATTTTATTAATATAAATCTTACATAAAAAAAAATATAAAAAAATAATAATTAATGTATATAAAAATATATCTATTTTTTATAATTAAAACAAAAGTAATACTTATTTTTATAAATAGATTTCAAAATAATATTATAATATAAAATCTTATCATTTTTTAAAATATTTTCTGTTTCTGAAATTTGTTTTCTAATAGCATTAAATATATCAAAATTTAGTGACCTGTTCTAATTCAATCGAACTTTGATTAAGTTGGTTTGAGTTAACTTAGTTTAAAATATTTCATAAATTTTTCCATTCTAACTCAGTCTAATTCAATATAATCACTATATTTTTTTTTTCAAATTTAATATAACTCAACTAGGAACATAATATGCATTCAGTATCGCGTCTCGTGTGAAAATTGGTTTAAAAAACTAATTTATATCGACCAATTTAAAATAATAATTTTTAAATAAATAAAAATTTCATACATGATATATATATATATATATATATATATATATTAATAATTTTCACTAACTATTTATTAAAGGCAGATAATAATAATAAATATTTCATAAAATTATTGAAATATCTTATAACACGAGGGGTCAATAAACAAATGAGACATTAATTAATCAAAGGTTCAGATGATCAACTCGTCGGTATTGTAAATATACAGTTACAAATAAGCCAGCTAAAATAATAGGGATTAAACTTAACACGATTCCAAATAAAAAAACTTTAATTATTTTTTTTGTTTGAAAGGGAAAGGGGAGGTAATGTTTATTTTTAAATAATAATCAGTATTGATCATTTATTTTAATTTAAATGACCAAAAATTAAAAATTGACACGGTAAGAAACTATAAAATATCTTAAATATTTCAAGATTTCTAACTAATTTCATAATTTTAAATTAAATAAGTCGTATACTAAATAGAGTCAAGGTTATAGTTAAAACTGTTAGTAAAAAATTGAAATAACTAGTTATAATGAGTATAGAGAAGCTAAATGAAATATGTTCTTTTTATATATGTTTATAAAGCATTTCCTTAAGTTTCTCTCAAGATTCACTTAAGTTTTCTAAAAATAATGCTCTATTAAAAAAAAACCCAGAAAAACATAAATCTTATGGTAAAAAGATTTACGTAAAGCTACCATATCGTGTTTATTACAACAAAGTAATAATACTTATATACGTATTTAGTATGTTTGCCACTCACTAACTTATTTACAAGGCTCCGTTATGGATGAGTCGTTACCATATTTCTCACGATTGTTCGTAAGGTACGAGAAATGCGAGCAGAAAAATATTTTGGAACCCTTAATTAACATAGTAGAATGATCAAAAAATGGTAGCATTTGAAAACAACTACGTTTGAGAAAGTGTACGTCGATCCAACAAGAGTGTGTATAAAAACAGATAAAATGGGTCTACTTTTAAATTGTAGACTTAACCCCAATTGAAAAAGTTTGTTTGAACAACTTTTAAACGCAGTAATGCAATATGAAGAAGAAAAAACATAGTAAATGCGATGATAGCTAGCTTGTAGTTTTATTCTTCTGCATGCAGGCATGGCTTGAAGTAAATGTGAACGTAGTAAAATTGTGTTTGCCCTTCGCAGACATCATGATTTTCAATTATGACAAATTGCCTTTAATTATTTTGCTATGGAGATTTATAAATGTATGCATCCCAAATTGACAAATAATTTCTTTAAAATGGAGATTTAAAACACGTGTTTGGAAATTAATAAATCAAGAAAAAGAAAAACTTGAACATGAATACTCGGCTTTACAACGAACATGATGGCCATTTTGAATTGTAAAACAATAAAATTGAAAAAGATCCAAAGAGTGGCAAATTTGGCATTTAGTATTATAAAAAGTTGGCAAGGCCTAAATAAACGTTAATGACATGGTGGAATATGTAAAAGGCATGTATGTATGTATGTATGTCCCCATGTGTGTAGGACCCACGAGGCATAGAAGCATTATTTAGGTCCACCATGAATGAACATTGAAGGAAGAAGAAGCTGATGAGGTTGAGGTTGAGGTGGTAGTGGTGGGCCCCATGAGAGCCTCCATTGTTGGTTGGAACTTAGCAGACTAAGAAGGGAAGGTGTGTGTGGGTCACAGGTACGAAGGTAAAGTCACGTTGACTTGAGCCTTCGATTTTAACATGTCAACATCCTCATATTACATGTGATGTTAGAGTGAGACGCCGCTGTTGTTGTTCCTGTGCGTTCTGCCATGGCGGTGGTTGTGGTTGGCTCTTTCCCATTGCTCAACGACGCCGTTTTGAGCCAGCCATTTCTGTGTCCTTTGGCTTGGCTATAGAATAATTAAATTACCTTTTTATCCCTTTTCACCCCCAATTAAAAGGGGATTCTTTCTTGTAAAGAGATTTGCTGTCTCTTATTCCCTTTGTTATTGTTTTTATGCCATAAAGTTTGCGAATTTTCCGTTGTTTAAGCTTTCCCGAGAGATAAGGCAAATGTTGCCCAAATGCTTCATTATGCTATTCTTTAATTGACATTTCACTGCAATACCAGCATAGAAAAACAACCAACACTAACCTTTTCTTTTTTACCTAAACCATATTATGATTGTTGCCAAAAATGGAAGATTCTTTTCTTTCTACATGTTTTGATAATTAAAGGAGTTTGGCACGGTAATAAATTATAATTATAACATTTAATATCATTTATATATTTCCTGAACGAAATTATAAACAAATTTTGATTTTTTAAAACAATATTATATTATGAAAATAAGAGTTTGTTATATATAATAATAATAATGAAATGCAGTTTTATACACCGACGCTAAAACTTTAAGCCCACTAACAATTTTAAAATTGATGGATCTTTCACAAATGCATAATCAATTTGACGTTCACTTTTGCAGCCAACGTTTAGATATTAAAAATAAAAATATACGTCCCTTTATCCTTGAGATGTTATTCACTGTGTATGTATTGGATGTCACTTTAATTACCATTGTAGATAAAATTATCACTGGTCTATTCAGATGTCCGAACCAAATTTGACAAGGCATGCCAATGGCCAATAAACGAACATTACAATTTGAAGCGAAAGGAAGAAAAATATTTATGAAACACAAACTTGCAGCCAATAAGAGGTAGGTACGTTTTCTTCAATCTCGTGGCCATTGGCCATTGCACCAACCGAAAGAGTCATAGATAGTCGCAATCAAAATCAATAAAATTTATATGTAGGGAAATCTCAACTAAAAGAAAAACTATACAATATTGATGTGGTAAATTATTTATGGGTTTATATAAATAAATAATTATACACTTTCTTATAATTAATTCGCTCTTACTTTGAAATTTATTTTAGTACACTGAACAAAACACAGTCAATTGA